TTATTGTGTGGAAAATAAGTAAAATAATTGTAGGCGCCAAAGTTAAAAAAAAATCAAAATAAAAATTAAAATAAAAATTAAAACAAATTATGATAAAATAAAAAAAAAACATTTCAAAAGAAACAAAAACGAATTTAAAAAAATTAGAAAAAGATATAAAAAGTTTTAATAATAGGATCAAAAAATTGATAAAAAATTAAAAAAAAGCTGGAAAATATTAAAAAAAATTAATAAAATAAAAAAAAAAATTAAAAAATATATAAAAATAAAAAAATGATAAAAAAAATTAAAAAAGGACAAATGAATTAATTAAATATAATTAAAAAAAAAAAACATTTAATAAAATCAAAAATCAATTTAAAAAAAACTACGACATAGAAAGATTTAATAAAAAGAAAAATCATAAAATTGATAAAAAAATAAATAAATGCTGAAAAAAATAATAAAAAAGAATAAAAAATGTAAATATATTAAAAAAAAATTATAAAAAAATTTAAAAAAAATTAAAATATATAAAGAAAATATACACAGCCTTACAAAAATAAAAAATAAAAAGAAAGAATAAAAAAAATATTTAAATATATGGAAATAAATCAATAAAATTCAAAAATTGAAAACAAAATTTAAAAAAAAAAAAATTTTTATTTTAATTTTAATACACATAAATTGTCAAAATATGCGGTAAAAACGCCAACTACAATTTGCGACAACTTAAATGACAACAATAAAAAAATATGAAATGTACAATATCTAAAGTGAAAAATCAAGTGACAATTTGGAAACATAATCTTTTCGCAGCAAGCCAGAAGCGCCGACCATTGGCTCCTACCATTCTACGCAGTGCATCATTAATCCTTGTCATTGCTATGCCTGATGTTACAAGTAGACCATACATATACATAAGTGTGTACATATGTACTTCGTTGAAGCACTTGCTGCATTCGAATCCGTTGTCAAACTAACAAATTGAGAAATGAACAACTAACCAACTTCTCGAGCTCGGCGTACTAACGATGTCATTCAGTGCACTGAAATAATGCGCAGAAGATTGGAAAGGAGGCATAAGCCACAAACAAAAGCTTTATTTGATGACTTCGTTAGTGTTGCTGCTGCTACTGCTGCTGTTGCTGGTGATTATTTTGCTTGTTGCATGATGAATAGTCAGCTTATTTGCTTTCTCAGTCTTAACAGTATTTTAAATATGTATGCGAAGTCATTCAACTTTTCGACAGACACTTCCGTATTAAGAGGGGCAAGCTGAGGTCACTCAGCTCATAAGTTTCTAAAAAAGAGTTCTACGATAAAGATAGCCGAAAGACCTGGCCCAAGTGGCAAAACAGTTTTTTGAATATTTCCTTTTAGACAGCAGGAAGTTTTAAATCTTAAATTGACCTAGACTCCTTGGGCGCTCGAAACTACTAGATTTTTGTCCCAAACCTATACACTTACTAGACGCTTGACCAAGTCTTCCAATCAAGATCTATCTAATGTTCAAGTGGAAAAGGATAGTTTTAAACAGAAACCGGCGATAAATCGTTTGAGCTGTATTAAGAAGGCTCAAGGAGATACAATTTTTAGCTGGCTTGACCCCGACAGAGTACCCAGATTTTTAGCTAAAAAATTACAGATTTAGCTTATTGAGAAAAACGACTCCCCCAGCGCTTTGATGCCTTCAAAGAGGGAGTAAAAGGAAAGAATTACCTACAACTCCATCCTCCAAGAAGATCTTGCTGATATAATTTTATGAAGAGTCATGACAGAAATGCAATTGGAGCGGTTGATAATCTCTGCCGAGGGGTCACTGCAATGAGAAAATAATTTCCTAAATAAAATTTCTTAGTTTTTGGATGTTGGTCTGGCCTAGATTGACACTCAAGGTCCTGTGATGCAACCACCTGAATATTGGAATCCGAGCGCACCGAGCCCTTAATAAGAGCCACCGTATTTAATGAGAGAAGTCACCGTATTTGAGTGTTTTGAAGAGTATTAACCGATAGGATTAAAAATGGGGCAGCAACTCTTACCTGATTGCTCTCCACGAGGCCGTCCAATGTCGATGAACCTCGCAAATACTAACTCCAAGCATTTCTATAGAAAACTTACAACGCATCAAAGTCGCACATACCCACAAATATTTGAGTTTAGATTTGTAATTAACAAAAGTCATCAACTGAAATGTTATACCATTGCCACGGCAAACCCCATTAAGACAGCCAAAGATGAGACTGCAGCAGTAAAACCACAAGTGAATAGAGTTACTGTTGGCTGTTGGTGGCTTGACATCTTTTTTTTTTTTTTTTTTTTTTTTTTGCCAACACCAGATAAAGAATATCAATTTTACGGCAGTAGTGAGGGAAGAGTTTTTCTTCTCTTATGCCATTGCTTCTATGGGTGACAACGACAGCTCGCCAGAGATAAGCCAAAAGTTGGTGACACGACGACAAAGCAGCGGAGTTGATGTTGGCAGCAATAGGAATATGGCAAAGGCTTGCAACTTCATTACCGGGTGTGCACAACAACATCATTACTAAACACCGTTGATCATTATGTGGTGATAATATATAAATTATCTTGTTGCATGAAATCCTCTGGAACTGAAGCCAGCCAAAGTAGGAGCCGCAGCAGCATGGAACGTGCAAATATGTGAACAAAGCAACATTTTGGAGCTACCAACTGTGTGAACACAACTCACATAGTACAGTATGTGTGTTGTTGCAAGCAACAAATGTCAACTCCGTCACCAATCAGTGAAATGACTCTGAATGACAGACAGACATCTTCGTTGAGTAAAATGGCAAAACTGCATTGCTGATTGTTAGCGTTAGCGCGCTTGTGACAGCGTGCTTGGCATATAGTTTTTTTTTTTACTTACACACAAACATACCCACTTATTTATATAGTTAAACAGCATCACATATGCTTTTATGTATGCGCTTGAGCCTCAGCCTTTTGATTTTTGAATCTTCACTATGGTCTCAGGTGCGATGTCCTCTCTTTTGCACTGGCGGAGAATATTAATAATATTGAAAGTTCACAGACACATGCCTAGAATAAAGGTCTACACATGTACGTATATATGTACCACACGTTTGTGAAATTTGTCAACGAAAGAGATTTCTTAATTGCGAAATTTAATCTAAAGGAAGAATGGATTTTTTATGGCACGAAGTCATAACACTTTTGACCTGAAAGATGGCTAAATAAGATATCCTTCAGTTATTGACTTCATATTAAAGCTCCTTGGAGTTGTGCAAGTCCTCTGAGGCTCACGCCTTCATCCTGCGAGAGAACCTTTGGACTTGAATTGAACGTGTGAAACTTCGTCCTTGTAAATTCTGCTACAGAGGCCTTCCAAAGGACAAACAAATTCTGTGGAAGATTTGTAATAGTAGACAGCATCTGTAATCGGGTTCAGGTATCAAAACCATGGAAAGTGCACCGAGCCGCAATATGCACCAAAGCGAGGTTCTTTGACGAAGAGGAATGACAATTTGCCCAAAGACATCTGCTGTGAACACTCGAATAGCAACAGAGCTTGAAATGAGCTTCGCCCGTTTGTCTTCATCTTCAGCACCTTCTTTACTAGTGTAGATACCATAGCTGAGTTTACAATAATTCGGCAGTCCCTTCTACTGCTCGCCATCCAGTTGGAGTTGTTTTTGAAACTCCGCAAAGGAACATTCAAAAACCATAATTCCAACCAACAGAGGAAGAGTGAGAAAAAAGAGGTGCTTAGAGTTGTGAGGGGACTCATTACAAACATAAAATATGTTGGGTCCAAGCTTGGATAAGTGAGAGTTTAGTCGACTACAATAAACAAGTCTTAAACGTGTCGATATTACTCGTACCTCTAGTATCAGCCTGAGCTCTTGGACTCCAAAAACTAGTGGTTGAATTCCGAGTATACTATTCAGGGGACGAAAGTTTACGAAAGCATTGACAGACTCTCAGAGAATGACGTTGAAAAGCTATTGGTATGCCGTCCCCTACAGCCACCTGCGGGCGTATTAAATGGGTCTCGGTGCTCGAGATTTTCGTGTATTTCACTTAAATTACGATAAAAAGGACTAAAGCAGTGGTTTCTGCATAAAGAGACCGCTGGGTCATAGGTCAGGAGCCCTTCTTAAATACGAGGTTTCTACGTGCTCTCGAATTTCGACTTCTATTCTTATCTCTCCATAACTGCGCCCCAATTACTTTCCCTATTTCTCTCCAATACTATGGGTATTGGTGTCGATATACATTTATATGTTTTCTTTTTACTGCTGCTTGCACCTATTCCACTTCTGATCTTGTCGAAAACCAATCGTTGCTTGACACACAAAAAGTAGGGAATTAGATATGCCGTCATACGGTTCTATCATACCCATTTGCTGAAGAGAGTTCTCTGAGAGGAGATGAGAGCTGCGAATGGAAAGACGCTCACTTCGCTGCATATATGGAAACCGACTAATTTTTTTGTTTGTTGTTCGCAAAATGGTGTTTTGACATAGAGAATTGTTTCATTGTCATAAAGTTGATTGATGCAGAGGTATTATCCAAAATGAAAACTACTCACTCTCTCTCTACGCTCTCTCAATTTCCGTGAAATATTTTTAGATGCTTTTCTGGCTTTTCTCGAATTAATTGAACAACTTTTTTTGTTGTATTCACTTCAGAGCTTTTTAAAAGTTTTCCTCCACACATATGTGTCACTTGTTTCTCACATAACATTTTCTAAAATATTATTATTTTGTTATATGCAACATGTCTATCATTCAAACTACATTTCACATGCGTTGCGTGTTCTTTCTGCTCTTTTGTTATACCATAGCTTTGATTTATTGTACTTAGTAAGCTATTAAGTTGTCTAATTGTAAACAAATATAAATTAGTTTATTAAAATTAGTAATTAGAAGCTTACATATTTACTCTGATTTTTATGTAGATATAATAAATAATTAGTGCAATTTTAATAAAGTCATTTATCATTTCTTTTCTACCTCCTTCTCTCTCTCCAGGTGCTGACCTTTCTCATTGACTCGTCGCGTTTTCGCTATCCGGAGCGTGCTATTGTTTTTCTTGCCGTTTGTTATCTCGTTGTGGGTTGCGCGTATGTCGCCGGTTTGGGTGCGGGCGATTCGGTGGCGTGCCGTGAACCCTTTCCGCCACCGGTGCGTCTTGGACGGCTGCAGATGATGTCGACGATAACGCAGGTGAGTTGTTAATGGTGAATATTTTAAGAAAAACAATTAGTAAAGTAAGCTAATAAAATAATAAATTAATTAAAAATATGTTAAATATTTAGAAGAAATGTTGTTACAGCTGATTCCACTTTATCTAACTTGTAGAGGTGATATTTCCGAGTTAGATGCCACCCAAATACGCCAACAAGAATATTAAGTCCACGTTTGTTCTAAGTTAGTAAAAGTTTGGTATGTCTACAATTCAGACTGCCCCACATTAATTTGGTGGTACGTACTCCTGCTGGAAGTGCTCCAGGACCTTAAGGGTTCCCCTATCTTCACTGCTTTAGACAATATTGAAGGCGCTGAAAGGTCTGAGGCAGTCGATGATGATATCCATATCGGCTTTTTAGTGACATTAAAAAAACCACTTTGATATTAAGGCATAAATCCAGATTTCTCGTTAAGTCCGATCTGTTTCTCCCATCGTTAAATTCCATCGAGAATTTGCGGCGTGAATACTTCTTTTAGGCACCACTTGTGCTTGTATAGCCAGAACGGAATTCAGTAAATCATCCCTTATCCATTCGAATAGAATTGGATTTTGCGATGTCCTCCTTAGCGTTTATCAAGCGATATCTTGGTTTTACTGCTGTTTTTTCACACAAAATTATATTATACGTAGTCGGTAAACGAAATTCAGTTTTTCTAAATTTTATTTAAACTCACGAAAATTCATTTATTTTTTACTCTAAAAATCAACTTTCATCTAATAAGACTTGCATGGCTTTTCTATACCAGGAAATGTATGACTTCAAACTGATGCATTGTATAAGGAAATGTATGCTGTTTATCGATAACAATAGCTGCTAAGTACTTAGGCGGTGTTCACAATAACTAAAATCCTTATCCAATGCCTGCTCGGCAACAAGAAGACTTATTATAATATTAAATTATTTATAAAATCAAAAAAAAATGTTTGCAAAACCATATTTATATAATAATTTGCAATAACAATAACACATATACATATTGATTTCGCCTATGTACGCTACCATTCCAACCACTAAACGGCTTTCAAATGAAAAAACCATTACCCAATCATTCAAGTGATTAATATCTTAAAATTTTTTTCAACAAAATTATTTATTATTATTACTGTTATCTACATTTGCATAATTTTTCAGCACTTCCCATAATTAGAACGTGATTTTTTCGATTATTATTACAAACATATTTTACAAATAATAAATAATATTTATTTTTCTCCTTTTTTTCCAACCCGCAGGGTCATCGCCAAACCACCGCTTGTACCGTTTTATTTATGGCCCTCTACTTCTGCTGCATGGCCGCCTTTGCTTGGTGGTCATGTTTGGCGTTCGCTTGGTTTTTAGCCGCCGGCCTTAAATGGGGTCACGAGGCGATCGAAAATAAATCGCATTTATTTCATTTAGTCGCTTGGGCAATACCAGCGCTGCAAACAATTTCGGTGCTGGCATTGGCGAAAGTTGAAGGTGAGTACACGGCAGCCGAGAAAATAAATAGAAATAAGCTTTATATGTATACGTGTATATGTAAATATAAAAATACCATGCCATAAATAATTTTATTCAAATTCACGAGGAAAAATATGAAAATATCTGCATTGAAAATAGTTGAAATAAAATCGACAAAATGCTGGCGGAAATCGCTTATTGTTATGAGAAAAAAATGCAATTTGTAAAATTAAATGGGAAAACTAATGGAGAAGGAAAAGCCTTTTGTGTAAGCGAACAAATAAATAATAAGAATACAAATAAATGGAAATCGTTTAGCAAATGGCTCTATTCATGCAATTTCTCATTGCCAGTATTTTTTTCCAAAATAATATTTTTTTTAAATTACCTACTTTTTATTTATCAATATCCTCTTTTCAAGCTTTGGCTTTTTATTTGTTTATTGTTAATTAATTTATTTATTTTTATTTTATATATTATTTTCATTTACTTGTGATTTTTATTTAGTTCTTATATTAATTTATTTCATTTAATTTTTATTTTTTTTTTTAATTATGTTTTCAATTTTCATTTATTTTATTATTTATGTAGTTTTATTTATATTTTAAATTTTTCAAATTTTAAGATTAATTTTTTATTTTCATTTCATTTTTTATTTATTTATATCTATTTATACCTTTTTTTCGCTGTTAAATTTTATTAAATTAGTTTATATTTATTTATTCTTTAATTTTATTTATTTTAATTATTATTTTCTTACAATTTTTAATAAATTTAAATTTTTTATATATATATATTTTTTTTAATTTTATATATTTAAATAAATTCAGCTTTCTAAAAATATTTCTATTATTTTTTTTTTAATTTGTATTATTTGATTTATTATTTGTTTATTTCTAAGTTATATCATTTTTTCGCTGAATATATTTTATTAATTTATTATATATATATGTATTCTTAAGTTTTATTTATTTTCAATTTTTACTTAACTTTTTTTAATTTTTAATAAACTTAAATTTTGTATATATATCTATATATATATTGTTTAATTTTATATATATATATATATATAAATAAATTTAGTTTTCTAAAAATATTTCTATTATTTTTTTTTTTAATTTTTATTATTTATTTTTTTATTAAAGATTAAATTTTTTATTCTTCGATTTTATTTAGTATTTATTTTTTTTATTTATCTATTATATTTATTTGGTTTTTTATTTTCCTTTATTTTTTATTTTGATTAATTTCTTAATCGAAATATTTTATTTATTTTTTTCATATTTTTAAATGAGCTTAGATTTCTAAAAATATTTTTATTTTTTTTTTTAATTTTTATATTTTGATTTTTTTATTAAAGATTAACTTTTTTATTCTTCGGCTTTTTTTAGTTATTTATTTTTTTTATTTATCTATTATTCTTATTTGTTTTTTTCTTTATTCGTTATTTTGATTAATTTCTTAATTGATAAATATATTTTTTATTATTACTTATTTTTTAATTTTTTTTTCTAATTATTTTTTGAGTATTTATTTAATTTTTTGTTTATCTTTTTACTCTTGGATTATATTTTAATCTTTGTTTATTTTTTATTCTTATTTATTTTTATTTATTTCTTTTATTTTTATTTTTTGTTTTCTTTTTTTTTATTATTAATTTTTATTCAATTTGTTTTGTTTATCTAATTTATTTCTTTAATTTTTCTATTTTTATTTTATATTATTTTTTATGTATTAATTTTTTTATTTAGCACTTTTTTTAATTTTTATTTACTATCTTAATATTTGTAATTTTTTTTACATACATCAGTTTTTCTAAAAATATTTGTTTTACTTTTTGAATTTTATTTTTACATTTTCAAATAATAAATTCACTTTGAGTTGAACCATAAATAATTTCCGCCAACAATTGAGTCATTAAAAATATTGACATTTGTTGCCATCACCTTCGCCAGCTGGACTCAATCAACATGATCAACATGTAATCTTTTGACCATCATCAGCATGAGCTGCCAACACACTTACATCCATATATACATACATATGTACACAAATCAGTTAAGGGTATGCCATTTTTGGTAATGTACTCACGAGCCTGCCCAGAAATCTAAAAGAATTGAACCGAAAATAATCAAAAAATAAAATATTTAAAAAAGAAGCCGGTGAGGTAATGAGCTTGTGTTACAATAAAAAGCAGAAAAAGAAACAACAAAACCTACTGCTTATTGACCGGTTGGCTTGAATGGGCCTTTAAGGCCTTAAGTGCCTGCTAGTTCGCAGTAAGTGGCTGTGTTTGCTGCTAGAAATGGCATTAGGTTATGGTAGTGGAGGCGGTAAAGCTAATATCGCAGACTGTTTTTGTTGTGACTTTTTTATATAATTTTTTTGTGTATATTTTAAATATTTTTTCTCACTATTTTTATTTTTTATTTTTAATATATTTTTATATTTTTTTATTATTTATTTTGTTGTTTTTTTTTTAATTTTTTGTCATTGCTCTTGTTCTCTTTTTCTCAATAATTCTTGGTTTTAATTTAATAACTTTTTGGTGTGGGCAATGAACCGTTTATTCTCCATTTTGCGGTGATATTTTAGTATTTTTTTTGCAGCCCGGGCGCTGTGGCAAGTCTTGTAAGCTGAGTTTTTTGTGTGATTTACAGTATAAAATTTTTTTTCAGCCGTTATGACTTTAATGTTAACGAAGATTGAGGTTTTTGTTGTTTTATTGGTGATTTTTTATTTTTGTTTTTCGCTGTATTCTTTCTGATTTTGGTATTTTATATAGCTTTTTATCATTCTTATTTTTAATATTTTTATTTAAAAAAATTTTATCTTTCATACTCTTAATTATAATATTTCATTTCTAATTTTTTTATTTATTTCTTTTTAGTTTCATATTTTTTAAATTTTTATTTTTATTTTACATTTTACCGCTTTACCACTCTCCTACTTTTGTAGGCCAAAAGGCAAAAGTCGCTATTAAATTACCGCAAAACGTGTTGGGTTCTGTGTATCTCGCCACCACATTATAAATAGTTTAATGTGGTTTTAAATGAGCTTAATATGGCCTGAAGAACAACTGAGCTGATTTCCGCTTAAAAAAGTACATATGTATGTGTGTACGCGGCAGCAGCGGGAGGCAATTCAACGTTTGGGCAGTGGAAGTTGCCGCCTGTAGATTTGGTCGGTCAGTTTGCAGTGTGTGGTTGTGAAACAGAGCAAAAGGCGTGTTTTTTACGAGTTAAGCAGATCAGCGATTTTGGTTTAATTTAATTTTTCACAACTTCAATTTCGCCAGCTTCTTACAAGGCTTTGATCCACACTGATTTTTTTTTTATATTCTTTAAAGATTTTTCCGGTTAATTTCTTATGCGGCAGGGAATTTCTAGCTCTCCGATTTTATTTCTGATATGAAATAAAGAGGTCCTCATTAAAGATTATTGGCCATTGAAAGTCAACTCAATATAAACCCCCTTCGTGTTGGAATTACCTGGAGGCGCGAAACCACGAATCGGTGGTGGAGCTCGATCGAAAATCGCTGTATATGTTACTTAGCGCCAATTAAATAAAAGCTTTTTACTACAGTTATGAACTGTTTACCCATGGATTAATGAAATGACAATTTTTTTATTAATTTTATTTTAGTTTATTTTATTTCACTTTATTTTATTTTATTTTATTTTATTTTATTTTATTTTATTTTATTTTATTTTATTTTATTTTATTTTATTTTATTTTATTTGTTTTATTTTATTTAATTTTTGATTATTTTATTTTAATTCATTGTTGTTTTATTTTTTCTTTAATAATTTTGTATTAATATTTTTTTTGGTTAATTCTTTACCCAGTTTTATATTTTTTTATTTTGTTCTCATTTTTTAACACATAATTTTACATTATTTTTGTTTTGTTTTACTTTTATTTTATTTATTTTTATTTATTTACTTTATTTGAATTAGTTTTTTATTTTAATTTATTTAATTTTCTTTCTTTGTAATTTATTTTTTGTTTGTTTTATTTTATAATTAATTCATTTACTTTTATATTTTTATTTTATTGTATGTTATTTTAATTTATTATTTAATTTTAATTTTTTTTTTTTTTGTAATTTTGTTTTTTAAATTTTAATTTTGTCTTATTTTATAAATGTTTCTACATTTTATTTTTTTCTTTATTTCTTTTATATTCATTTTTCTTATATATAATTTTATATTATTTTATTAATTTCTATTGGTTATTGTTGTCGTTACTTTCTTTTATTTTTAAAATTTTTTTTTCCGCTTCAACTAAACTCCGAGCAAAAATATTTCAATTTCTCCTAAACTTAATGAGTAACAACAATAAATGAGTTCCAAACGCTTCTGTACAATGCGAAAACTATTAAAGAGTAGATAGGAAAAAATAAATAAATAATGTAATAAGACAAAAAATAAGTGATATTTTAATATTATATAATATATACTTACATAGATATTGTTTTAATAATTATTTTTAATAAACTCTCAAGCATTAGAGCTTTATTTTTTAACAAGCGAAAGAATTTATAAACAAAATTTAATTGAAATAAAAAAAAAATGAAGACTCATCCATCATTCCAACTAAAGTCATTTGCTATAATAGTGCATATACGATTATGGCAAACTAGTTTAGCTGAGCGTGAAGAACACTTCGCCGTCACGGCTGTTCCAGTAAATATCTTAAGCCGGCGTTCACTTGGCATCGTCTTTCACTATTTGAAAAAAAATAAATAAATAAAAAATTCTTTGCTCTTGAACACTCAATTAAACTCATTTATTTTTAATTCTTTAATTTTTGAGCTGTTACATATACTCGTATGCTGCCCTCATGTGTACTCAAACCAAAATATTTTCAAAAATTGAAGTTTTCCTTTTGGAAGTAATTAACAAGTCACGCAGTCGCACTCCGCACACTTAAGCAGGCAAAGCCGTTTGAGTTATTAGCTGGGTCGCCGAACACTTTTAAGTTTTTAAAAGCATACAAATATATATATATATACA